TCTTGCCAAGGAATTGCTCCACTGAGTCCGTGAATCTTTTTCATGTAGTCCTAAGGCCACCTGCCCCACTGTGTTCATTGCATGATTCTGCCTGATATCTGTTAATTTAAATATTAAGGAAATAAATGGGCCCGGATTATTTCCAAAGCCCTATATTTCCATTCGTCATAGACTCCTAGAAGAGACTTTCAAACACTGAGACATTACTTTTTTTTAAAGATTTATTTATTACTGTGTATACAGCTTTCTGCCTGCATGTATTCATGCAAGCCAGGGAGGGCACCAGATCTCATTACAGATGGTTGTGAGCCACCATGTGGTTGCTGGGAATTGAACTCAGAGCCTCTGGAAGAGCAACTAGTGCTCTTAACCTCTGAGCCATCTCTCCAGCCCCCAGAGACATTACTTACTTCTTCAAATATGTTAATAATATCTTCTGTGCATATCTTTTGTTATTTTTAAAGTTAAGACATTTGTAGTTTAGTTTGTTTTGTGTAAGTTTTTGGTTGACTTTTAGCTTATTTTGTTGAGGATAGGAGTGCTGAGGCTTGAGTACAGACCTTGTGTACAAAAGGCAAGTACTTTTCCACTGGGCTACATCATCAGCACTATTTCATTTTGGAGTCATTTTATTTCCTTATAATTGAAAAGAAGACACAATGATATATAAATGAAAACTAAAGGGATTAATAACCTAAAACATGTCAAAAAACATTTTGAAGATCATTTTTAAGGTCAATCAATAGAAATGTACTTTGACTTAGAAAAAGTTTATTTAAATGAATATCTTATCTTACCTATGATTCTCTAACTGTTCCAGGATTATAAAGATTAAAATAAATTTATCACTTCAAAAAGTTGGGGGAGGAGCCGGGCGTTGGTGGCACATGCCTTTAATCCCAGCACTCGGGAGGCAGAGGCAGGTGGATCTCTGTGAGTTCGAGGCCAGCCTGGTCTACAGAGCGAGTTCCAGGACAGCCTCCAAAGCCATAGAGAAACCCTGTCTCGAAAAACAAAACAAAAACAAAAAAAAAGTTGGGGGAGGGACTCTGATAAGAGTTGCTCCAAAAACGTATTGGCTTATCATTAACTTGAAGACTTTCTAATTATCAAGCTGGTATTTTTATGACTTCTCCCCTGGAAACATTTTACTAAAATTACACTTTTTACATTAATCTTTCAGAATTATGTGGGCATGGTGCTCACCTCTTGTGTTTAACAAAGAGTGACTTGTATCATTCTGTACCTTATACAGCCATATGACAACCACAGCCATCATTGCCATGTGTATGTCTGCACATCCAGGACAGCTCCCCAAATAAGAGCAAGGTATGCTTTTCATACTATAACTGATATTAACAAAGGGAAGTCATGAACTTGGGAAGGATTGGAGTTTGGGCTTCCATTTGTAAGTACCAAAGATGAGCAAGCAGTACTACAGTATAATATACAAAGATGGGTCCTGCGATGCCCCAGATCTGGTCAGGAGTCCAGCTTATCCTGTGTGCAGCAAATCAGTTCATACAAATTTAGGCCATGAAAGTAGTAGGACAGTGAAGTATAAACATGAGGAGAGAGTGACCTCATGCTACTTGGAAAGAGTTAGATCACATTCGAAGAAATACAGTGAGTTTAATTGGTGAGGATAAAGCTAAAAGTTGCATAGCTCTTTGTATGATGAATGAGGCATTTTGGTGCTCCACATCACATAATCTCTCAGGAACTAAGTTAAATGGTTTCTACTAGAGACAAAGGGGACCACTTCGATTCCTTAAGCAGGTAAATATCAGACAATTCTGGTCAGAATTTCTAAATGTTGAATTTTTTCAAGATGTTAACATGCTGGCCTTGGGGTTAGACACAACTCTTGTTTTCACACCACACATTTTAATACATTATAAGACTACTCCACTTTTGTGGGAGATGAACCATTTTATACCTTGCCAGTTAAATAAGAACTCAGATGTAAATTTTAAAGTAAGCAAAATCACAGTTCTAAGGTATCACAGCTCTGTGAAACACTCCTTATGAATCAAATGTCCAGGCCAGTCACTGCTTGCTTGCCTTTAATAAGCCAAAGGGAAACAAATTATTACATGATACTTAAATTTCAGAGTTGATAGAATGCAAGTCATTTTCATCTTACATGTGTTTATAATCTTTTAAAATATCATCACTCAGAACTCTTTTTTCCCTTTTTTTAATTTAAATCAGAAACAAACTTGTTTAAATGTCAATCCCAGGTCCCTATCCCTCCCCTCCTCCCCCGTACCCCATCAAGCTCCTATCCTATCCCCTTTCTGCTCCCTAGGGAGGGTGAGGCCTTCCGTGAAAGAATCTTCAAAGTCTGTCATATCATTTGGAGCAGGGCCTAGATCCTCTCGCGTGTGTCTAGGCTGAGAGAGTATCCCAGGCCTCCCAAAGTCCATTCGTGTACTAGGGATAAATACTGATCCACTACCATCGGTTCCATAGATAAACCAGACCTCCAAACTGACATCCTCATTCAGGATATTACCCACATAAAAAGCTACCGTTGGAATACATTTTCATACACTGAATGTTTTGACAAATTAAGAATTCTGTATCATTAATCCTTGGGCCTCCAGACAACATTGTGGGCTATAAAAATGGGAGCTGCCTATTTTAATTGGTGGTTTGTCAAAGGAAATTTTATACTTACATTATTATTTCTTAAAATCGTAGCGATCCATTGTACTACTCTTGATAGCTCACATCCTGGAAGCCTCCACTGAGCTTCCCAGTCATTTCTGAGAATCACTGAGTCACAAGAATTCTCATAGATGGTATTTCTGCACTCGGTGCTTTCTTGGTTTGGTTTGGTTAGTTTGGGAGTTTGTGGTATTTGTGACAGGTATTGCTCTGGAGCCCAGACTAACTCTTTGTGTAGCTCAGACTGACCTGTCCACCATGGGGATCATCTTGCTGCAGTCCCACAAGAGCAAATATGACAAGCATAGCCCACTACATCTGACTTCTATACCAGCTCTCTATTTTGAGAAGAAGTAGATTGCAAATTACTGAGACCTGTGTGTGTGATGTTCTACTCTCAGAGCCAAGCTTTATTCCTGAGAGTCTGTGCCTACCCTGCTCTTAGCAGAGAACTTACTATGCTTTTTTCTCTCTTCAGTTATGGAAGGTGCGCATCAATCCTTAAAAATGAACTCCTCATCATTTCAATACAAGCTAATGGGGATTATGTAATGTGCATTCAGTAAAATACAAGGCATAGAGTTTTGTGGGGTTTGGGTGGGAAGAGAAACCTTTCGTGAAACAATGTCCTCTGTCACTTAAAACTCTTCAGTGGGGAATTAGCTTCAGAGCATGGAAGGGGAGGAGACAACTCATAAATATCAAGCTGAGCCTATTCCCTAATTATGTACAAAGTTAATTCCATTATTATCACTTGGAAAGAACAAGAGGATTTTTAAGATGAGTCAGAAGGGTTTCTACTAAAAGAAATTCACTTGTTTTTCTGTGGCTAATTGTGCTTTTATTCCAGGATTGTGATTATTTTGGTGCAATTTATATACTATTTGATATTCTGCTTCTACCTTTCTGTATTTTAGCGATGTTAGGCCATGAGTAATTTATGATCATTACACTCACTAAGGATGAAGAAATGATTCTAGTGAGTCATATTACTGTAGAATACCGATTTAGCAGAAGTAAAATTCCCTTTGCCAACATTTTGGAAGAGAGAGAGAGAGAGAGAGAGAGAGAGAGAGAGAGAGAGAGAGAGAGAGAGAGAGAGAGAGAGAGAGAGAGTAAGAGCCATAAGACTTTGCAGCCCCTTTAACAGAGTTTCCGTACAAACAATACTTAGACTTTTCAAGCTATTAACCACATTAACTTAAGGTTGGGCAGGTACACTTCAGGATTTCACAAAGCTTACTTATTTACAATCTGTCCTCCCCAGGGGGGTGAAAAATCTACTACACACACACACACACACACACACACACACACGGAGCGCTTTCAAGCAGAGACATTAATTCACATCCCTCTCTCTCTCTTCTTTCTCTCTCTGCAGATCTCTGCCTCTCTGGTCTCCAAGAATCTGCTCCATTCCCAGATACCAATTCCCCTTCTCCCCTTTCTTCCCAGCTCTTCAATCTCAGGGATCTGCAGCTGCTTTTCAGGTGTGTGTGTTGGGGGAGGGGGGAAGGTTCCTCCTTTGGCTCTCCTCTAGGATAGTGAACCAGAGAATGAGGAAGCTGTGGCGAGCCTCCCTGGTGAGCCTTGGCACCCGAATACCTGGCCCCACCCTGCAACCTCCAACACCCAGCCCGCACTCCAGCAACCTGGGGACTCTTAAAGACTACCCCGTTTTCTGCCCCTAGGTCGCATTTTTCCTCTTGCTCCCGCTCTTTTTCCTCCCCTGTGTTTCTGTCATTTGAAGGCAAAAGAAAACAACTCAAAATAGTCTCCTCTCAGAAAAGCAGCATGCTTTCCTAAAACCGTTCTCTGCTCCTTTCCTTCTCTGTGCAAAGGGCTCCAGTTTCAGCCACTGATCAATATCAGGTTCCCAATGGACCAGCTTCCCTCTGGTTTAACATATTCTTTCCCACCTTTTCAGGTTCTCTACATGAGAAAGATAGTGTGAATTCCAGGTGTGTGTGTGTGTGTGTGTGTGTGTGTGTGTGTGTGTGTGTGTGTGTAAGATAGTCTGAAGATGTACACCCGAACTGCCTGTCTCACCCTGTGTGAGTCCTACCATATGGCTACCAGATGCAGGACAGTCGAAATGGCTCCAATTGTCCTGCTAGGCTAAGGTTGGACCCTCCAGAGCTCACCTGTCTGCATTCAGGTAACTGGCCAGGTGCCCGCCCGGCCACGTTCCAGAACAGCTAGCCGGACAGGGCTCCCACTCCGGCGCATTTGCTCTGCACCCTACTTTAACTTAGGGGGATTCTGATTTTATTTCTGCACCCCTCCCCCCAAAGACAGCGGGATCGTTCCCCATCAGGGTTCCTTACCTCAAACAGAGGTCCGATCTTGTTTTTCTCCAGGTAAGCCTGGATTCGGGTTTGTTGACGAGACGCCATGGAGAAAAAGGATGGGTTGGCTGAGAGAAGACAGTACGCCTTGGCTGGGGACAGCCCTCCTTTGCCCCCAAATGGACCCGGGATAGGAGCTCTGGAGCCTGGCTTCCCTGGCACAGCCGTGGGCAGCCACCGGGTGAGCGGTAAGCGGCAAGCCCGAAGAGAGCAGGGAGCGGAAAGCCGGGAACCCTAGCGAGGCTCTGCCAACTCAGGCAACTCCGAGGCGACGGGAGAACTCCATCGGATCCTGCAGCTCGCACCCAGGGGCTCCGCTTTCCGCAGCGCTGCCGCCGCGGGGAAATCGCGGGCAGAGGCTCTTCTGTCCTCTGGGCGGCAGCAGCTGGAGCCGGTGGCCAGAGGCGAGTGTCTGTACAGCGTCTCTGGGAGCCCAGCTTGGGGAGAGCGTGGGGCCGCAGGGGCAACAACACGCGGAGCCGCCCAAAGCGCGCCACGGTGTGTACCCAGGCTGCTCCCCGAGGCGGTGCTAGCTCCCTAGCGACAGGGCCGCTCAAAAAGCCAATAGTAAAGGTGCTTCTTTCAAAGTGCACATAAATCTAGTGCTTGTTGGCTACTCCTTGGCAGCTACAATCACAGTTCCAAAGAGGATGGTCCTCAACACCCAGGGTGATTTTCTCCTGGGCACGTGCTCTGTCTTCACTAGCTGGTGATGAGAGAAAGCCAGACTTGAAAATTAGTGGGAGGGTTTTGCTGTGAAAACAAAGTTGCTTTAGCTTTAAAAAAAAATGACGAAGAAAAAGATATCTGCCCTGGCCTTGAGCAAGTTAACTAGCGTTATAGCCTGAGAACTCGTTGAAAATTCTCAGAGTGCTTACACCCAAAGGCTGGAAGCAACCCTTGGGCATTTGGTTGGGAGATGAAACAAAAGCGAACCAATAGCTCTCTGCTTCCAAGTTTGCTTTTCTGCCCACGCCTTCCATTCTGTCTGTTGTGCCTCTAGCTAGGGCTCAGAAACTCTGGAGGAGATTCCTTCTAGCAGTGCTTTTTCAGATACCTCTTGAGCACTTCACTTTTACCTAATGCCTTCTTATTAGGCAGGGATTTTCAAATTGAAGATCTACAGATAGCACAGAGTTCTCCGTAGAGTTCCTCTTTTTCTTTTTCTTTTTTTTTTTGTAATTTTTTTAAAATGCGATATAAAACACTGAAGCCTTGAAGACATTTTCCTGGTTCCAAACCATTATGTATTGCCAAACCGAACATTTATACAAAGCTGCTCGTTGTCTCTACAGTAATATGAAATGGTTGCCTAAAAGCCGACGGCTACATTATAGATTGCTTCTTTCTTCTTCCCACTGTGTTCCAGATTTTTGTGACTCGTGTCTTTACTGCTGTCCAAGCCTCTCTCTCTATTTTAAAATATCCTGGCAATGTGCAATAGTCACGATCAGAATGGATCATTTCAAGAAGTATTATAGTAATTACCTTTAATAATTCACATATAAGAAATCTACCAGGGGGGCCGGATATTATTTGCCACTGATAGCCTGAAGCAGACATGACTTGGGGTGGAAAGATGCCCAAACTGTTACTTTTGCAATCAACCTGGGATGACCTGCTAGGAGCCTGCAGGAATAAACAGCAGTGAGGTGTCAAGGGTTAGGTGTCACATATTTTCTGTTACAGTTCAAAGTAATTTATGTACTTCTTAGTATGCTCAGGAGATATTGAATATACAAGGTGAATTCCAATATTTATATGAAATATGTTAAGACCCACCCAAGTGCAATCCTACATTGTACTTCAATATCAGGACAGGACCTTCCCCAAAGTACATTGTTTCCCTCTAAGAGATATGAAGAATATCTTTTCTTTAAATAAAATGATTGATATAAAGAATCAGTCTTCACCAAGCCCAGGAGTACCAAGCATCAGGAGTCTTGACCAGAAAAGACAAGGCTTGGTCTGGCAAAGGCTTATACACTGATGAAGAACCATTGACACTCTAACAAGTGTGCTATCTCCAAATATCCCAAACTTATGTAACTGAGACATTTTCAAAGTTTCTCTGGTCCTACATCAAATGCTACCCTCCACCCCAAAGCGTGGTTCTTTCCATTTCTCAAGAAATTTGACATTATTGCTACTGGAAGTATTTTTTTGCACAGCTTCTCCATAGTAGACATTATATGAAAATGAAAACTTCAAAGGCAAAAGGTCCTTCGTTTGTCCTCTGGTTTTCAGTCCTGTTGATATAACTGACACCCGCACAGATGGCGGTGTGCTAACACAGGGGGAAAGAGACACATACTGGGACTACAGTTTTTCCTAGTGATCCTGTGAGGATTGTTGTGTCTGGTGCCCTCAATGAATGTTTCAAAAAGAAGATAGTATCCATACACGGTGTTAGAAGAGTAAATGTTCGGTCTCCTAGCTGAGACTGGAGGAATGAGATTGGGAGGAAATGTCAAGCTTCAACATTAAAAACTATCATGTAAAAGTGCATTGAATTGCAACAGGCTAGTGTTGGAGAAGCATGGGGATGAACACAGATGAGAATCACATGAAGTAAAAAACACAGTCATCATCACCTTCATTCAGCTCTCTAAACTCTCAAATATCTTCTTAGGAGTGATATGTCTTGTGGGTGATGGGAAGTTACTCTGCTACTTAATAATTTTGATCACTAAGTCCCTTTAGGGTAGACTAGGTGGCTGGAGAAATGGCTTTGCTGTTGGGAGGTCTTGTAGTTCTTCCAAAAACAAGAGTCTGGTTCCTACATTCAGTGGCAGACTGTTCACAAATACCTGCAACTCCAGCCCCAGAGTGCTTTGATCCTTCTGGCAGGCATGCATAAACATAATTAAAAATTATAAAAATAAATATTTTTAAAAGATTTATTGAAATTTAATCCTGGTCTTGGATTGAATTTAACAAGTTTTTTCTGTCCACATTAATTTGGCATCTTTAGGATCCTTTCCCCACTTTTGGCTTGTATACAGCACAAAAGGCCATTTTTAGTGAGGTTGGATTGACCTCATTGTGCTCTGGGAATGCCTGTCAGCATAATTTACAAGCTTACAGAATCCAATTTATAGAGTGTGCTAAAGCCCTTGTCTAATTCCATTTGTAAGACACCTTGCACAGCTCCTTAAACAAATGATTTTCAATGAAAGACAGGGAAGGTTGGTGAAGTCCAATTGACCCAAGTCAGAAGAACAAGCAAAGTGACCTCTTGAAACTGACTTAAGAGGGAGGCCAGACAACAGAGCCATTCCCTGTTGAAATGAGACTCTTGAGCTCTGAAGCATAGTCCTACCTTTCCTTGATGATTTTTACCTTCTTACTTTGTACAGGACCAAGTGCCTTCACAAAGAACACAGCACCTGAGGACAATCTGACTATTCAAGGGGAGTGAACAGAGTGTTTTCTTCATTTCTGCCTGACCTGGTACAAATGCCACATCTACCAAGCACTGAACATAGTCACAGAACTTTCTCTGCTGAACTAATGCATTTAATCCTGGAGATACTGTCAAGAAGTAGGGGTTTTCATTTTCCGCATCTTTTCCAGATGAAGAAACAGAGACACTCAGCAAATAAATAGCTTATTCAAGGTAAAAACTAGCAAGTAAAACAACATGTGAGCTTGAACCTCTATAGTATTTTAAACATATAAATCCTGCCTACCAATATTCCAAGTATTTCATTTCCCTTTACTTTGAGTTTGTTCATACCAAGAGTCATTTTGATAATGAATTTCAACTCCTCAATATGGGATAGGATCTAGCTTGTAAGGTAGTGACAAGGATAATTGTTAGATCATTCTAAATGAACACATTGTCTTTTATGATATTCAAAAACAGCTAATCAATTACATTCAAACTAACTGCTCTTAGTGAATAGTAACACGGACTCTATGATATTCATAACAGCAATGATTCCATGGTCTGATAATCCCTGTTTCCACTCTTACATAGGGGAACTCCATCTCTTTCATCTTCACACTTAAATACTGGGTTTTAATGTTTCATTTTCAATATGTAGGATATTTATCTCCATCTCAAGTTCCTTAACTTATAACAATAACTTTACAACAGGCATATTTACTAGGTCATGATTCATTTGAAGAATGTCTACAGATATGAGACTATACATGTATTTCTTATTTTTAAGGAAATTCTCTTAATCCTTATGGTCTTTTGCTTATAGTTTTACAATGACATTGTCTCAAGTTGTCATTCTAGTGTGAATTGTTGCTAGGAACTGGAAAGTGATGGGAATATGTTACTGAATATGATACTGAATATGTTGAAAGGAAGAAAACAGCAAGAATGTCTGAGCAAACAAAAGATGATGCACCAGGGCCTCAGGTGGTGCAATTTCACTTGGTACATGCCCTAGGGAACCAGGCTCTCTGCCTAGGCAGCATGTACTTTGCTCTAGTCTAACTATCAAGGAATAAGCAACATGAGACCTATTTCTCAAACACATCTCCATAAATGCCAGCTCATTTTCAGATGTAATAAAGTGAATCGCAACAACACTAGCACAAAAGGTTAAAAGTACATTTTAGGTGAATTAATTAACTTCCATTGGCCAGCATGAATTTAAACTTTAAATATAAAATGCTACAATGACTTTGCATTCTGCAAAAAAAGTGAATTCTATAGTAGTCAAAATAATCAAGAAATTCTCTCCTTCTGAAACAGACACTGCCCCATATCCCAACACCCAGCCTCAGACAGTTTTTGTCCTAGGAGATTTTGAAGAACTTAAGAATAAGCTGAGTTTCCACAAACATGAGATAATCACAGCACTGTGCATACCATCGACAGAAGCAAATGAAGGAGGGGAAAGGGGAGGCAGAGGGAACTGGGGTTGACATGTGACGCAAGCTTGTTTCTAACCTAAATTTTAAAAAAGGAAGAGAGAAAAAAGTAAATGAAGGAGTCATGAGGAGCAGCAACTATTGCTGTTTGGAAAAACTGAAAATAAAAAATCTGATGCATGAGTGGGTAGAAAGATGGAAAATAAATGAATTAGAAAAAATAATTAATGGAAAACTGCTGCTGGAGTCTGGAGAGTGTCTCAGTGATGAAGAACACGTGTTGCTCTTGCAGAGGATACAGTTCAATTTCTAGCACCCACATAATGGTTCATAAACACCTGTAACTCCTGTTCTAGGATATCAGGTGTCCTCTTCTGACCTCTGAGGGTACCAACTATACATGTGATGACATCATGCATCCAGGCAAAACACTCTTACATAAAAGAAAATGAATAAATTAAAAAACCTCTTTAAGATTGGGAACATAGGGGGAGGGGAGAGGGAGCCAGTGAAAAGAGAAGGGGATAACAGGAGGGGAGAAGAAGGTATGGGGGAGCAGGAAGGTTGAGTCAAGCTAAGAATAGAGGAGAGCAAGATAAGAGATACCATAATAGATGGAGTCATTATAGGCTTGAGGAGAGAGCTGACACTAGTGAGATCTCCAGAGATCTACAAGGATAACACCAACTGGCAAACTAAGCAATAGTGGAGAGACTATATTAAAAGCCCCTCCTTGATGATAAGGTTGATGACCACCTTATATGCCAACCTAGAACCTTCATCCAGTGACTGATGGAAGCAGAAAGAGATACCCACAGCTAAACATTGAACTGCACTCCTGGAACTCAGTGATAGAGATAGAGGAGTGATGAGCAATGGGGTCAAGACTGTGGTGGTGAAACCCACAAAGACAGCTGACCAGACAAGGGAGAGTCTTGAACCCTAGACTGATGGCTGAAAGGCCAACAGGGGACTGATCCAGACTCCATAAATGTAGTATCATTGTGGA